AACTTTTCATGAAGCTGACATAGGCCCTTTCCCCACATTATGAGATCTACAATCCCCTCCCTGTTAGGTGCCCTCTCATCACCATAACAACCCGCATTCTATAAAAAACAGGGGAGCCATTCATTACAAGAAAGGCAGAAGGAGAGAACTTTTGCTATTACCTTTCAGGAGTTCCATTCAGGTAAATCTATAATATTTTCTTGATAATTCATTAACTTCATCCTTAAAATACCAAGTGTTCTGAGCTGCAATGCCCTTAGCGACTATAAGTTATTATTATTTGCCAGGAAATTAAGTTCCTTCTACACTTGTCACCTTTTGCTTTCCGTGTCATCATTTGCTTTGTTTTTTGAGTTTTACTGTTGCTGTTTGTTTCTCCATTTGATGTCTCAGTTCAGTTGGCACATATTTCTGCCTCTATGCAGTGTGTCAAGTCTCTCGTAAACCTCCCTTTCTTACTTGTTAAACTATAATAATAGAGTTCGGGAAGGTTATGTCTCCAGGTTATCATAACACTCGATGCAATTTTTTTCCCTACCCTTTTACATGTTTTCTAAGTTTTCTACGTAATAATGATCAGAAAAATATACAACTTTTAAAATATACAACTATATTTGTTCTTTATCACTAAATATATTTCCCATTGGCTTGTTTGCAAAATTAATATTCCTTTATACTTAAGCTTCCAGTGAACTACATTTTGAACTATATTTAAGCTTCCGGTGAATTACATTTTGCTTTATGCATATCATTTTAATTAACTTTAGGTTTCCCTATCATATTGGATGGTATCTTACACAGTGTCATGGTTAATAAAAATTTTTTTTAAAAAAGATCCATTTTTCTGATTCAACAGTAAAAGTTATGTAACTGAAAAATTAAGTCTGACTATTCCCATTACTGCTGAGTAGAATGCTAAAGTATCAGAGCAATAAGGTACAAATATTATAAAATAAACAATATTGTGGAGCTCTTGAATAGATATGCAAAGGAACTATAACACAACTGGCAATTTTAATGGCGAGTTTGGGTTTTGCAAATTACAAATGAGAAAAACAGAACCAATTAATCCCCAAATTACCCAGTGTATAATACCCTGTCTGTTATTCTCAAAAATTAAGTTAAAATATATGAGTTAATGATGAGTTCACACCTGAAGTGCTTCCAAACTTAATGGGGACATGCCACTGGTAAAACATCAAAAATTTGAAGGTTGATTTATCCTGGCTAAATCATGATTTCTTCTTGTTTCTACTAATAAGTATTTTTGTTAAATGTCAATCTTCATCTTAAATTAAGATCTATCTTTTGAACCTTTCATTATTCAGCCTCAATATGCTCCTAGATATGTAGCATCATTACTTCCTCAGTGGTAGAGCTAAACGGTCCCAACACTGGATTTTAATTTTTGCAGTCCTTGCTTGCCTGACCAAACGTTTTAGGATACATACATTTGCTGAATCCTATTAGCATGTATTGAATTACATGATGATATAGCAAAAACATTACTTGACCCTCCTTAGATCACTGGCCTTCAATAAGAGATACACCTAAGGCTGGGAAGGAGGTGATTAAACCTGCTGCCCTGAGGGGAGAACAGTGTACGAAAGTCTAAAAGGAGACTATAGATGATAGCTATTCATGGATTTAGTGTGTGTGCTACTTGGCTCCTGCTGAGCCAAATATAGCTTGTACTTAACAACAGCCATCTCTGTGTCTTAACATTTGGTTCAACTCCCAGCTTCTATATTTGCTAATATAATTATGTTTGCTTATGTGCCAAGTTTTGGACAATTATCAAGCTCTTAGTTGTGCCTAAAACTTGGCTCTTTATAAGTATTTTCTAACATCAGAAATTGCGTATGTCAGGCAATGGGGGATGTACTTCAACAGTGATGTTAAAATGTTAGAATCCATAGTGGGTACTTAAATTATTTCAATAATGATGAAACTAGATTTTTGTCCTTGGATTACCACTGTGTGCTTAAAATGATACATTTCCTAGAGATAATCTTAAACGAAGGTTGATTAATTGTTAATTAATAATTAGCCTCACATAATCCTTCCAGTAAGGTTATTGTTAAAGTTCATTCACTTATTTGACAAATATTTATGAAACACCTACTATATTTGAGTTACCACAGAACAAAAATAATAATTAAAAGGTACCTCCCTATGCTCAAGAAACTTAAAATCCCATATAAGAAGAATATATATATACACAATTATAATACCAGGTGGTATATAACATATAACCAAAGAATGGTACAAATAACTCGATCTAGGTTCTCAAGGGTGGGTAGAATTTCAAAAGGCAGAAATGAGGGAATGAATAACATTCCCCAAATAACAGCATTAACAAAAGCATGGAGAAAGAAAAACATCAAGTGAGCATGTGAGTAGTCATGTTTGGCTGCAAAAACAGATTATGTGATTAGATGTATCAAGAGAAGGGTACGAAGACAAACTAGAAGAGAACTGTGTTAAGGCCTTATATATCAAGAAATCCAGACTTCATTGAGTGGGCAAACCAAATAATAAGCACAGAAGTGAAAAAAATCAAGTAAGTAATATAGGAAGATTATTTCAGTAGCTCTTGGCCTAAAGATATAGAACCTCGGGACTTCCCTGGCGGTCCAGTGGTTAAGACTTCACCTTTCAATGCAGGGCGTGCAGGTTCGATCCCTGGTTGGGGAGCTAAGTTCCCACATGCCTCGGGGCCAAAAAACCAAAGCATAAAATAGAAGCAATATTGTAACAAATTCAATAAAGACTTTGAAAACGGTCCATATCAAAAAAAAAATCTTTAAAAAAAAAAGATATAGAACCTCAACTTGGATGATTATTTGATTGATTTACTAATATTTATTGAGCCCTTAATATAGGACAGGCATTGTACTCAGCATCGAGGAAATAACAATGAATATGAATCCTATATGATCTAGTCCCATTATCTCTCTGACCTCATTGCTTACTATTATTCTGCCTTAAGGGACTCAGTCCAGCCACGATGGCCTCCTTGTTGTTCAGGCATGTTCTCATCTTAGGCCATTTGCATTGGCTGTTTCTGTTCCCAGAATCCTCTTTCCACGAACAGATGCATTGCTAACTCCCAACTGTCCTTCAAGACCTGGTTCAAAGTCACCTTTCCAATGATACCTAGTCTGATCACCCTATTTTAAAATGTAACTAGCTCTATTTCCTTTCTATTACTCACCACCTAATATATTATATAATTTATCCATTTATTATGCTTATTGTTTCCTTTTCCCCACAAGAATGTAAACTACAGAAGTACGGAGGTCCTTGCCTCTTTTTATTCAAGCACCTAAAAGAGCACCTGACATATATGAGCACTCAATACATATCTGTTGAACACTGTTGAATACAGGAACTGTACAAATTCATAATCTTCTCAGGAAAGAGAATTTATTAACTAAACAGTGTGAAAAATTCATTAAAAGAAGGATATACATAATGTGCCATGAGAACCCCAAAGGAGACGCACCTGAAAAGGTTCAAGGAAAGCTAATTCTAGAAGGTCATGACTGAGTGAAAGGAGAGGGGTAGAAATTTGCCGTAAAAATAAAAGATACTGTTAGCTGAGAAAAGAGGATGTGCTATAATTGCCTTCAAAGAATGTCTTAATCATCTTTATGTCACTGGCACCCAATGCAGAGCTTGACACGTGGTACCATTCAACACATTTGTTAAAGTGAACTGTGCTAGAGAGAAAAGACCGGGTATCCTCTTTAGGTGGAGAAAGGTCTGAGAAGGAACAACCAGAGAAGTAGGAAGAATCAGGATAGCATTACTTCAAGGAAATCGGGGATAATCTGGGATAAATCATATGAATAGGCTCAAATGTTTAGAGATCAAAGAGGATCAGGCTGGAAAAAGGCCTTTGGTTTGGTATATACCAGGGAATAGATTTAGTAGGGTAATAAAGGCAGAATGCAGGCTAAGGAGTCAGTGTGCTAAACAAAAGTAGAAAGTGAGCAGATTACTCTTCTGAAAAGCTTACGAAGCATTTTCTAATATGTTATCATCTCATCTTACAGTAAGGACACTGAGGCTCAAGTAAATTGATTTGTCCCAGGCCACGCAGCTAGTGAGGGTTTTAAAAATGACATGGATCCAGCTTTTTGACTCTAATTCTCATACTGCTTCCATTCTCCCCAGCATCGTGGTCCTCTTTTGCTCTCATTCATATAGCGGTAGGCTTCACAGAGAGGGCAGTGAGTCCACCACAATATCCCACCAATATTCTGGCATAATCAGAGAGGAAGTAAGAGAGGGTCTGAAGAAAATTTCAAGTATAAATTCAGTGCCAGGTAAGAAACTGGCTATTTCCAAAAAGGTTTTGAAGCAATGAGTGCCGACTACATAGAATCTCAGTAGCAGATATTGAACACCTACAGATACTACAGTTTAATTAAGTTTGCCTGTGCAAATAAGTTAGCTATCATTTTTTTCTTTAAGTCAGAGCTTTCCAACTGGTATGTAGGAAAGGGCTACAGGTGTGTGGTGATATTGATCCCCTTAGCCCTTATGGCTGCAGGTCTATAGGTCTAAATTCTCGTCTATTGACCACAATGTGCCATACAATTATTATGGGTGTCTGTGAATGACTGTAAGAATAAAATTGGAAGTACCGTCTTGGATTACTTTTAAGCAAATGATTAATTTTAAAAAGTTAGTTTAGGTACCTTTAAATCTTAAGATATTACTTATATTACTCACATACCCAAGGAGATAAAACTCTAAAATTAATTCTGTATTATAATTCAACACCCAAAGACAAATGATGAGTGCTGCTAACTTAATTTTTCCTCCTTTACAAGTATACTAAATGTACTAAAATATTTGAAATAGATTTACCAAAGATATACTGTACTGGGTAAGCTTCAGCACTTAAATGGTACTTTTTGTCTGAATTAAACAGTAACATTACGATCACTTTTATATAGGTATAAAAAGGAAAATTACATAAAACATACCTGTGGGGCATATCCAGGAGGCACATAAATAGGAGGCACAGAACCATTTGGGGACATCATTGGAACCTGAGCAGGACCTGCATGGGTCACAGAAATGATGTATTAATCCAGGATTACTTAGCAAGCTAAAATTGAAAACAATCTGAATTACGTTTTGAATTCTTCATCTAAACACTCAAACTAATAGTGACTGTATTACTATGAAAAGAAATTTAGATGTTAAAAAACAGAAAAGTTTAACTTATAAAGTGCACTGATTGCTCTTTACCTATAGTTGTTTCTCAAACTTGCCTAGTGATCATAACAGTCACCTGGGGAGCTTTTTAAAACACACAGGGACTTCCCTGGCAGTCCAGTGGTTAGGACTCACGCTTCCACTGCAGGGGCGTGGGTCTGATCCCTGATCAGGGAGCTAGGTTCCCACTTGTGTGCGGCATGGCCAAAAAACCCCGAAAAAACGAAAAACAAAAAAACCCCCCACAGATTTCCAGGTTCTCCTACAGATCGCTGTTTAGTATGCTTACAGTAAATGGGGGTCTTGAATCAGCATATTTACTTTACAAATATCCAAGGTGATTCTTATAATTGTGCAAGTTAAGAAACACTGACCTACAGGAAACTCAAACTAAACTTTGCATATAAAATCAATGAAAAATACAAAAGGCAAAAATCAAAAGTCAAGAGGCAAAAGCAATAAGAGGAAGAATAGTTAGAAATTTGGGATTTGCTTTGTTAGGGTTAAAAACCTCTTGTGAACATTTAAGTCATGTCTGTGGGGGCTTGAGAACAAAGTTAGAGAAATGCTATACATGCATATTTACCCAAAGAAAATTTTTTTGTTTCTTACACTGAAAAGTTCTTTAAAAAACACTCAACTTGTCTTATTCTTCATTTCCTTTCGTTTTTATAGTGATATCCTTTCCAAACAACTTTCAAAAATATTATCTCATTTCCCTTCTCTAACCAGGCACTCTTGGAAGGTGTGTTTTATTCTTTCTAGGAACTAAAATCTTACTTGCTTTACATGACTTTAAAAAAGAATATCTTACCCTCAGATCCTTTTTTTCCCCTGTAACTTTAGACTGCACTGTCCCCTCACCCACTAGTTTTTAATAAGTTGAAATGAAACCTTCTCAGAGAGCTTTACTCATTTCTAGGGAAATAAAGGTACCCAAGAGTCTGATGAAGGAAGAGTTCCTTTTATATGTAGATTTCAACCTGCAGAGTACATATAATGGATCCCACTCATAAAAGAAACCAAGGAGGAAAAGCTAAATCACAGGACAGAAAAGAAAGAAATTTCACTGGTAGCATTATACATATTTCAGAAAAACAGAATGAAGAGCATGGAGTTTACAGCAAATCAGATTACAGCCACTCTCCTCTGTCTACGGAAGGAGGAGGGGTGAGGACCAAACAACAAAGTAGTGGTGAAGGCTGGTGAAGGTAGGGGAAGGAAGGTGAGAGGTGGGGAAGGAAAGAAAAAAGAGAATGTAGGAAAAAGGAGGATGCAGGTGGGTAAGTACTAAATGGTAAGGAAAGGGTGAAGAGAGAAGAGGGAGAAGGGAGGGAGGAGGGGGAGAGGATAAAGGCAGGAGGGGAGGGAGGACGAGGCAAAGGAGGAGAGGTAATAGGAAGATAAGAGAAGACAGGAGGAAAGTGAAAAGGGCTGGAAGGGAGGGAGTGAAGGGGAGGGGAAGGAAAGGGGTGGAAGAATGTGGGAGGAGGAAAGGAAAGAAAGAAGAGGCAGGTAGTAGAAGGAAGAAAGTAGGGAAAAGACTCTAGTCGTTAAGAGGAAGTAAGGAGTGATGTGTATGTGAGCAGACTACCAAATTATACTATATATGACTATAAAATAACTTTTCAACAATACTTTTCCTATCTAAAACAAGCCCACCAAATACATGAAGTTGTTCAGAATATTATCTTAAAATACCTAATACTAACTTACTATGTGCCAGGCCTTTTATGTATTTTTTTTCTCCTCATAATCATTCTATTAGGTAAATATTATTACTCCTATTTCCAGATGTAGAAATTGAAGCAGAAAGGTTAATACAGCCCTAGTGGTAGAACTAGGATTCAAAACCAAGGAGTTTCATTTCTGAGGATCTCTCTCTACTATGTATTTAGTAAACACTAAAATATGCAGTTTGGCAACTGATACAATTTGAGCCTTAAGAACTATGCTCTGATGCTTCTAAGGAAAATTAAGGCCTTCTTTATCATCATATCCTTGAAAAACAAGACAGAAGGAAGAACAAAATTTTTTTACATATAAGCAACATTACCTATAAATTCACTAAATAAAACTTGTGAGGTGCTCTATATCTCTAGGCAAGAAAGGCTTCATCCAAAACTCACCTTTTAATTTCTATACACTGGACTCAAGAGAAAATGACAGCAGTTTTAAAGTAACGCTGGTTTACTTCTATTAGCTAATTTATATAAAACTAGCTTTCTGAATCCTGAGAGCTGGCTTAGATATTATTCAGAACATGTGAAATTTAGCTGAGGACCAGAAAGAGAATTCACTGAAAATCACATCTATAATCTTAATAAAGGAAATTATTCTGTTGAGCTTCTACTATATATGCCAGAGACTGTGGTTGCTTGCGTATGTGGTCAAATTTAATCCCTACTTCAAGTCACCAGAACAAGCTTTTGTTTGATTTTTAGCCTTCAGGGTAAAAAATAAGTTATTACTGATTACATTTAAAGTTGTAAGACTACAGAACTGCTTTGGGTTGCTCTTCTTTTACTAAAAATATGAATACATAAATACTAAGTAGTTATAATTCAAACCATTTTATACTTTGAAAGCTGCTAAAATCTTTTATAACTTAGTAGTATAAAATTCTACTTTATTCTTTAATTATATTTAAGTGTGATACTGAAAAGAGAACAAAACAAACCCAATCTAAAATAGACCAGCAGTAAATCCATTACTAGTTGCAGTCCAGGAATAATGATTAACTCATATCCCTATGAAGTAATCATTTCACTTTAGCAAGTGAATTTTCTTACCTGAGACAGAAATGGTACAAGTTTAGATTAAAAAAAAAAAGACAATTCATGTATATCATTATTTAATATCTAAAATACTGGTGTGAAGTAACATGCAACACTGAACACAAAACTCCCATTGTATAAACATAATAAATATAAGTATTCATGTTTAGAACTACAGTATTTACAGCACCACTTCTGTTGCTCTTCCTGTATATACTAGCAAAACTCTAAAATCTTGCTTACTTAATGATGCAAAAGTTTGATTACCTCCTTAGTTCCAACAATACTTTTTAATTTAGTAACTACTAAACCCCGATTAAGGTCAGTGAGGGAGATTTTGTCCCAATGAAGAAGGTACATCTGTTACTGATTGTACCATTAAATGCACATCTGGCAGGAGAGTGGCTATATCTGTATAACTGTAGATACACCTAGTAACTCCTTAATAATCTATATAATTTGAGCAAAATCTACCCCAAATCACACAGCTATTGATTTTTAAGGGCATATTTCCTTTTCCAAAATCGTGCATAAGAGTAAACAACTCTATTCACCAATTATCTTAAGAAATTTGAGAAGCCTCAATTTCTTAAAAAGTGGCATCAATGATTTAATAAGGACGATATTTCATCTAGTATAATTTAAACTCTTTTTTATTTTTTCTTTATTAGTATACATTAACATTTAAAAAAAACGAAACTAGAAATTTGTCTGGGTTTAAATTCTTAAAATGCAACGGGCTGCTGACGTGCCACACATTCCCTTTTTAAGCAAGCTTTCACAATGGCTTCCAAATAATCTGATGCCAATTTACAGATTTTAGTTGTAAAAAGAAAAGCCTAGTAAAGAAAAGGCTCTGGAATATAAAATATATTCTGTGGAATATAAAATCAGCTCAACTCTAAGTAAAGTCTAATCTTTTTATAACTACATGGCCACAATTTAAAATATTTTTACAGCGGTAGATCTGGCATCTATTGAAAAAACACATGGCATGACTTCAGATTAATACAATACTTTCTACATTTTAAAATAAAAGCAGAATGTTTAAAATCAGTCAGCAAATCTTACCACTCATTTTGTTTTTACAGTAGCAGCAGAGAAGAAAATCCAACAAGGAAACAGCGTAGTACACGTTAACAGCTTTAATTGGAGAACGGCCGCGGCTTCTTTCTGTTTTTTTTTTTTTTTTTTTTTTTTGCGAAGCTGTGAGAGGAAAAGATCCTTTGACCGAGTCACGTGATGCATATCACGTGACCCGCAGTGACCCGCGGAAAGGGGGGAAAAAAACAACCAAGCGTTCCTGCCGGCAGTGTTTGGGATACAGTAAATGATTAAATGATTTCTACTGATTCTGCCTTCGAGTTGACCATTTTAGGACTCCCTTATGAACCAACTCAAAAGCTCATCAAAATATACATGGAGAAATAGATATTTGATGTAAAACAAGTCTCTTTGTTATTACCTTCCTCTGATAATATAATGAGCACTATCTACTAATTCGTTTTATTACCCAGGTGGCTGCTTTTCATTTATAAATTTTGGAATACATATAACACTTAACTAATTTACAAGATTCGCTCTGAAATGTCCTTGTGTAAATTGACCCACTCTCCATACTCAACCCATAAGGAATGCCCACGGTATACAAAAGAATTGTCTGTAAAACACAGGCTTGATCAACGTGTTCCTCAAACATGGGGTTTTTATTTCAGGCTGGCATTTAACTTCTCAAGCTAATAAAGGCTACCACTTTTATTGCTGGTTTTACTTCCTTTTTTTCTGATTTTTTGTTGTTGTTATTAAAGATTTAACCCAGACATTAATACAGATACTTGGTGGATGGCATTCTCACTCATATCCATGAAATCTGAAAAGACAGGTCATGATTGGGGCTTAGAGCACTGTATTCAAGCATGTGTGGAGACCAGGAAAGAGACTACAGATGTTCAGTTACAAAAGAGGGGAATAAGACTGTGAGAACTTTTGGGGGTCTTTTCATTACTTTATGGTGATATGCAGTTAAGGAAATTTATTAACAGCTAATACGCATATACAGGTAATG